ATCAACAGGGGTGTAAGTGCACCGCAGCAATAGCAGCAGCAGCAGCAGCAGCAGGGACATAATGATGATGATGATGACGACGGGTCGGTTCAACTGGAGGTGGAAGGAGGTGGAGTGGTGGAGGCGCCGGAACTGTTCCCGTTCTGATCCCCCCCCCCCCGGGTAGCCCGGGTGGCCCGGGTAGGGTGCGGTACCCAATTCACATGCTCCCCATACACACCACCCTCCTCTTTTCCTTCCCAAACTTAACCCGCCTCCTCCCTCTCCACCTCCCCCCAAACCGCATCCCGTCTCCTCCAGCTCCACCTCTACCTGGTCGAATGCGTCGCTGAGTGAGTGCGCCGGGTCGGTGGACACCACCAGGGTGGGCACGCCCTCGGAGGCGAACCTCACGGCCAGGGAGGCGGAGCAGGAGGTCTTGCCCACACCGCCCTTGCCACCCAGAAGGAAATACTTGGGGCGGTCGGAAGGCCCTTTGGGGGCCCGGGGGGCAGACGGACGGGGTGGACGGGGTGCGATGGAGGCGAGGTGAGGCGAGGGCGGATTTAGGAAGTGAAGAGTCAAATATCCACCGAGGGGGTTGTGGAGGGGGTTGTGGAGGGGCGAGCTGAGGCGGGGTTGGGGCAATGGAACAACGCAAACTGCGTTTGGGGCCGGGGCCGGCATCGCGGCGAGGGGGAAATGTCCTGTGTGTTTTGTTGAGTACGACACATCTATAGGACGTGGCGGTTGAGGTATAGCAGAGAGGTGAGGAGTTCGTGAATGATTGTACGGACGTACCCGCATTCATGCTGTCGTACACGTCCTTCCACACGACATTGCCGAAATACGACAATGCAGGCACGCCACGCACTTCCAGATCCACCATGGGGGCGATGACCTGGAGGGGGGGGGGATCAGGGTGCGGTAAGCGGGTGGGGCAGTCAGGCCACATGCCACCCCAGGGCAAAACGCAGCACGCCCCCCTCGTCCCCAAACAGCCCCTCTGGTTGGCCCCCCCGGCCCCAGTGTTGGATGCTCCTTCCGGACTCTTAAAACACACACACCACACTACCTTCACTTCCCGTCCCCGGGTAAACATCCATGCAACTTTACCCCTTGTGCCGGCCCGCTGCCAATACACACACGGACAGACAGACGGATGCGCGCCGCCACGCCGCGCCGCCTCACCTTCCTCAGCGGCCTCAGCGCGGGGTCCCCCGCCACCATTTCCAGCGCCGCAATCTGGTCCTTCATTTTCATGCGGAGGTAGGTGTCCCCCTGGGAGGGACCTACAACCTGAATGGAGGAGGGGGAGGGGAAGGGGGAGAGGGAGTTGAGAGGGAGGGGGAGGGG